TCCACACTGCCTGAGAGACCCACCCCAATGCCACTGTGCCTCCATGACTGCCCCTCTGGACGTCACTGGAGCTTGTGGCATGTGCGAGGAACAGTGTTGACCTGCCGCCCTGTGGATCCTGCCCAGGCGTGAACCCCTCGGCAGCTCTGTTCTGAACCTGATGGCTCCCCAGAGCATACACTTCAGTTCACAGGGACCAAGAGCTGCTCCAGGGTGGTCCAGCAGTACACTCCGGTGCCACCTTCCCTGTGGGGAAGAAGGGGTTTCTGAGCAGAGTTTGGGCTTGGTGCCTGAGCTCCCTCCCACGCTGGCAGACCTTGGGCAATTCCCACAAAGGGGGCCAGTGGGTTGGAACCCAGGAGGGCTTTCTTGCAGGAGGAGATGCTACATGGTGACCCCTGGGGCCAGTCTAGGACAGCAGGCAAGGCCACAGGAAAAAGGCAGGCAAAGGTTCCATGTCCCTGCATAGTACTGACACTGCAGAGGAAGAGGGACGGAACCCAGAGGTGCGCCTTCCTGCCCCTACCTGGGCTGCCCACGATGCTGACCCACATCCTGAACCCAGGTGCTGTCCAACAGCGCCAGATGGGCAATAGCAGAGCYGGGGGCAAGGGCAGTGCCCAGGTCCAGCTTCAAAGCCACAGGGGTGAAGGGCCCCTGTTTGTCCTTTTGGGGACTCTTAATCATACTTTTAATCGCCTGTCCTCCCACCAGGCTGCCAAGAGTCCATCAGGTAGAAACCTCCAATGGGGGGCTGGCTCCCTAGCTGCAGTGGCTCCCACCAGTCTGAGGCAGGGTCTGGTGGTGGACTGGGGTACCCAGGAGCCAGTGGGCATCTGCATCTGGCCGAGGCTGGTAGGAAGAGGAAGGGAAGAAGGGAGGCCACAGGTGCCCATTTCAGAGCCCTGCTGCCCTTGATGCTGCTCAGGGGCTAGCCAGCTCCATGGTATGGCAGTGGCTTAAATCTGACCTGGCGACACCAGGCCTCCTGAGGGGACCCGGGGGCAGAGCCTACTGGGCCTAGGCTACTCAGGAACCCAGGGACAGTCAAGGACACCCAAGAGGTCAGCCTGGACCCATACTGGCCATGGTGGGCCCAGATCCCCTCGCAGCCTTGGCCTTGATGTCCCTTGTAGATATGGACCCAGGGACATTACCCCACAAATATGGGTCAGGGGACACACCACAGCTCATCAGTACACCTGCACACACCCAGAGCATGCACTTCAGTTCAAAGGGATCAAGCACACAGGGGTGCAGACGTGCCTGTCTGTGGTGGTGGGAGACATGAGGCCGGGGAAAGTGTTCCAGGCCAGACTCTGGGGATGAGGGTCAGTTCCCCAGAGAACCTGGAGGTCTTTATCCCAGCCCTTCCCTGGCCCCAGCTATTCCTATTCCAGAAAAATCCAACCAGGATCTGTCCTGACTACACAGGACCGAGTGGACCGAGATGTGCTTCCTCTCCAACTCAGGGAGGTACAGTAGGCTGGTCCCCATGGGGGGCAGATCCTCCCAGGTTCTGGCATGGGCACAGAACCAGTCCTGTCCCCATCCTGCCTCGCTATGCTGAGTGGGAGGGGGGGTGAGTGGTGCCTGTTGACCCACAAACTATGGTGACAGGGGCTTGGCTCTACAATTTGGTGGGGCCTGCCAGGCCTGATAGGGTTGTGGGCAGGGGCCCAGGACCAGAGGAGGAACAGCCATCACAGGTGAGGTAGGGAGGGAGAGCAAGTGAGCAGAGCCCAATCTGGGGCTTTCCCAGACCAACCTGGGTTACCCGCCTATCACAAAGACATGGCCCTCTCTGAGAATCAGAGGACAAGTAAGAATGAGTTCAAGGGGACCCAGGGGCCATGCCAACCAGTTTCTGAGATGGATCATACACACGTAGCTCTGTTTCCTGGTATTCAACTGGACCTTATACCTTGGAATCATGAGGCTGTTGGCTGGCCAGTTCTGTGATCCGATTCACTTCCACGGTTCCTCAGCCTGTGAGGGCCCAAGACTGTGCCAGGCCTGTCCTCTCTGCATCCCGTACCTCACTCTCTACCCAGAGATCCCAGGACCCTGATCTGAGGATGGCTGCTCAGTGCCACTGGGACCCTCTCCTGTGAACTGCAGCCTAACCAAGCACCCGAGGTGGGCACTCTGGGTGATATGCCAGATGCCAGGACACAGGGCTATGTGGATCATGCTTTGGCCGGTCCCTACCCCTGCCCACAGGCAAGCTAGAATCTGCACTTACGTGGGGTGCACAGGAGCAGGGGTCCCACGGCCAGAGCAGGAAGTGCTGGCCTGTGGCCTGACCCAGCTCTCATGCAGGTTTAGCCCTGAGCCTCAATTCAGACCTCCCAGCAGGCCAGGGAATCCTGCTCCCAAGAACTGGGCTCCTGGGGGGCTGGAGGGGAGAGGCCTGTTGAGGGAGGGCTGGTTCTGCAGACAGCCCAGGTGTGTACAGGCTGAGGGTCATGGGGTCTCTACCCCAGACCTCCAGGCCTGCCCTCAGTGCCCTCTAACAGGCTGCATCTCTGGGGGCAAAAGGGAGCAGGAGCCGGGCCTGCCACTGGAGGAGGTGCCACTGTCCTTCCACAGCCAACCCCCACAGCTGGGCTACCTGCAGGGCACCTTCCCTAGGGTGGGGAGCAGCTGACCCCATCCAGGCCCAGCCTGGCAGTTAGTGAAGAGCCTCCCTCCCACATCTCTGGGGAGGCTCGGTGTCAGAACATCGGGCCTGGAGGCAACAGGCTGGAAGCACAGGGAAGTCCTGGGTGGCAAGAATCCCGCGCCCACTGGTGAGAGCTGGTCGGAGCTGAAGCGCATCTCTTGGCGTGGACGTATCTGTATCCGGACGCACGCAGGCTCGGCTCCTCTTGGCGAGGTCACGCCAGCACCAGAGCCGCTCTCCAACAAGCGCCGGAACTCCGAACCCCGCAGCTTGCCCTCGGGCTAACCAGTCCCGCAGAGGCCCCACCCCTGCCGGCTTCATTAAAACGCAACCCCCACCCCCACCCCCACCCCCGCGGCTGCCACCGCCCCATCGGCCTTGGAGCCTGGGACCTCCGGATAAAGGTGCTAAAGTTTCCCAGGGTATCCGCACTTCAGAGCCAAGGGATGCGGAAGGTTAAGGCGGATCACGGCCGCACGGCCCTAGGGGCCTATGGCCTTTCCACTCAGTCTTCACGATGACTAAGGGATCAGCCCTAGGCTGGAAGCTGCTCCTTCTGAGAATCTCCTGTAGGGGCAGCGAAGCCAGAGGAGGGCGGAGTAGAGCCCCGCTCCCCCACAGCAGAGGTGGGAGGTGGACACCAGGTCATCCCCTTCCTTGCTGCAGTCTCTTCACTTCCTTGTCACAGGGGCACCCGGCTGTGGTCAAGCCTGCTTGTGTCCTGGGGTTCACAGCCACTACTCTTCTGGGGTCATGCAGACTTTCAAGAAGGGTMCACTGTGGCCTGGGACCCTCTCCCTGGGGTCTCTGACTTAACCTTTGCTCCTGCATCCCGATGCCCTGTCGCCCCAGAGAGCAGGGTCAGTGCTGTCCCGACTTCCTCTCTGACTCACCCCTGATCCCAGAAGGGCATGTCCCCCTCTCCCCCTCCCTGTCTTCCCTTCTGGGTCCTCCCCTTCCCTTCCTGCTTCCCTGTGGTCCTCCCCTCCACCTTGGCTCACCTTGCAGCAGGCCATGTAAATGCTGGAGTCCACGAGGGGCCGGAGCTCCCCAAGCCAGGGGTCCTGGCCAGGTGCTGCCAACCAGGGCCTGTCTTTCCTAGCCTGAATGACCCCAACCCCATCCAGCTGGGCCACAGGTCTCCCCCAAGCACCCTGTGTCCCCGGGCAGGCCTTCTCATGAAGCCTGAATATTTCATGCCTAAAGTCCTCCCCCAGCCCCAACAGCTTCACCCTCAATGGCTTCTCTGACCTGGCCCTGGCCTCTGCCTCTGGCTGTTCCTCTGCTTCCTTTCTGCCCCAAGAACCTCTGTCCAGACTCAGGACACTGAACATGTGCCACTCCTGGTGCAGGTGTGTCTTGCAATCCCTGTGCTTGGGTAAGGGTTGGTGTCTTCAGCTGGTCGAGTGCTCCCAACCCTCCCTGAAGCCTAAACTAGGGCAGCCCCCACCAGCACCACTGCCTCTTGCAACCCCCAGCACCTGCCTCCCCCAACCCAGCATCTGACTTGCCTGGTGTGCAGCAGCCAACACTCCTGAAGGAACAAGTTAGTGAGGGGGTAGGAGGTGAAGGCCCGAGGACTCCCTGGGTCTGAGGTTGAGGGTCTTTTTGTTGGGAGGGGGTGCTCATTAATACAAAATCAAACAGGGGCACTTATTATCTTCAATTAAAGTCATGAGTTTGAGGGAGGGGTCACCTATGTGACCACACAGCCCCCCTTGTCTCCCTTTCCTTTCTAAGCTCAGACTTCTGCCAGGGATGGGCTGCGTCTGCAGAAGCTCCTACATATACAGCACCCTGTATACCACCCTCCAGAAACCCCTCGTCTGGGCCACCTGTCAGTGTCTCCCAGAAGTGCTCATGGGTGGCCCTGCACACTGGAGCCAGTTCAGCAAYTGCCTGCCACCCAGCTCACCACACAAGACCCTCCTACACCCACCSGCCCTGGTGACTGCCCCAGTGCCCATCCTGGAGGGATGGAGGGGGGCTGGTGTGTGAGTGCAGATGGGCAGCCCTCCCAGAACTCCACCTCACACCCCCAGGCCACCTGGACTAGTCTCTGTGACCCCACCCAGCCCACACCTGGGGGGCCACCTGGATACTGTCCGTGGCCCCACCTTGTCCCCACACGGCACAGCACTGTGCTCATCCACACACTGGGCTCCTCACCAAAAAGAGCCTGGAGCCCCAGCTCTCAGTGCAAGGCCACCTAAGGGACCTGGAAGCCTGTGTCCCCACCATGAAGCCAAGCAGGGCGCCGCCAGGCTGTAGGGCTGGCAGTTGGGGAGGACAGACGTGGCCCTTCTTTTAAAGTTTCCAAACTTTATTTCACGGTGCTTGACAAGACACATACTGGAGTTAGTAAGGATACATCAGGGCAGTTTCCTGCAGCCCCCCACCCCCAGCAGAGGATGGCCAGGCTGCCAACTCCACCCCCGTTGTCTGGTCTTACTCCCAAGAGGACTGGGAAGGGCATCCAGGCAGGGAGTGGGGGGTAGACGTGGCAGTTTAAGGCATTTCTGACTCTGTGGCCACCTCTGCCACCCCTGCACTACACTTTGGTCTTGTTCAGACACTGGCTAGACCCCAGTCACTTTCAGATAAAGATAATCACTTCTCATACTGGCCCTGATGAGGATGCTTAAATGCTCTGGAGTCAGGACAGGAAAGATAACAGCTCTTCTGCTTTGGGCACCAAATAAAACCCATGGTCCAAGAACATGTTGGGTGGCCAGGCCTGGACATCCATCACTCTAGAGGAGGACACAGGCAACAGAGGTCAACCACATCATGCACAGTGGCCCATTCCCTCTCAGGGGCTGCTCACAGGGCCTGGAGTGTGTGTGTGGGGACCAGGTCCATGGCAGAATATGACATCAGTGGTCACGTCATTTCTAAGTCACAGTATTGGCACAGGAGTCCTGGGGTCCAGGCTAGCCTGGGGCAAGGCTACCCACAGCACAAAGGAAGAAACAGCAGCTTAAGTCAGGACCAAGAAAGGTCCCATGGGGTGTCAGTGGAACGGCCCCCTCAAGCCTTGGCAACCCCCTCCTGCTCTGGGACCATAGGCTTCGCCAAACGCAGCAAGGGTGAGGTCGGGAGCAGGGTCTGCCAGTACCAGGTACAGGAGGGAGGTGTGGGGGCCGACACAAGGGGACACACAGTGCAAAGGGCTGGTGTGTGCCCTGAGGCAAAGGGGCACGTCCTGAAGCTGCCACACCACCCCTGGGAGCCTCTTGATACCAGTCTGTCTCTGCAGCACAGCTGCCTGGACGGAAGGGAGGACAGGCCAGCAGTCCCTCTGGCCAACACACAGGCAAGAAAATCATATCAAAAAGCAACAGTTTACAAAAATAGAAAATAATTACAGTAGGGTGGGCAGATGGAGGTGCTCCGGCGTCAGTTTAGGAGGCTGGGCAGGGCCGCAGCTCTGGCTTGGTGAGGGCATCTTCCAGCAGGTGCAGTGGACGCTGGCCTACCACCACATCCCGGAGGCAGCCCACAAAACCTGTTCCATAGGCCTTTGGCAGGGCCTGGCCCACAGGCAGCTTCTGCAGGCCCCCTACAGGACAGACAGCAGGAGATCACACAGCTGTGGCTAGGTGATGCTGATGGGCAGAGGGCCACCACTGCCCAGGGAACAGGTGGGTAGTAGGCAGGCCCACCCAGAGGACCCTGTCCTCTGGCCTTGTGCCTGGGGCCAAGATGGGAGAGGACGCAGATGGACAGATGGAGTCTGTCCCTTAGATAAACCGAGGCCCTTGGATGACCCCTGGCCTGACCTCTCTGGAGCACTCACCGAGCCAAAGAGTTCCATCTGTGTCCAGCTGTGTGGCACCCAGTGGGGAGGAACCAGTCACAGGGGCCTCATTGCCCACCTGAAGGGAACCTTCTCTCTGCTCCCTGAGGGTGCAGGTGGGGCAAGATTATCAGGGGTCCCTCCCCACCTCCTCCAGATCAGAGCCCCCCCCCCCAAGCCTTACAGCTGCCACAGGCTGGGCCCACACCAGGGTCACCCTGGAGCCCAGGATGGTGGCAGTAATAAGCCTCCTGCCACAACTGCTGCTCCTGCATCTTCTGGTCCTTCCTTCCTCTCCTCCCCACGACAGTGACCCTGGGTCAGGCAGTTGGTGACCAGGAGTGGCTGGCACTGCCTGCTGTTCTTAGGGGGCCCCACTCACCTGTGAGCCCTGACTCGCAACCAGCGGTTGGTGTTGACCCTCACGGTGGAGCGCAGCACCACGGGCTGAGAGCCCAGGTCATAGGCCAGCTGAAGGTGTCCATCCACAATGGCTAGCGCCATGTAGTCCGCACGCTCGGTGGCCTTGCCACTCCACAGCACCAGCCCCTGCGTAGCTTCAGTGCGCAAGCTGAGCTCAAAGTGGTTGGTCTGCAGGGCTTTCTCGCTGGAGGGTGAAGGGGTGGGTCAGGCCTCCAGGAAGGCGGCAGGGTGGATGGGGAGGGCAGGAGGGCAGAGCCTAGACTTCACAGGCCATGGGGGCTGGTGGCTAGGTGAGGGAAACACCAACGGTGGGCGGAGGAGAGACAGACAGATGGAGGGACTGGCAGAGGTGATCGAGGATGACAGGCAGGCACACCGTGGGGTGACAGCCACTCTGCCCCTCAGGCACTGCCACATGCTCACCTGTTTAGGGCCCCAGAATCCGGAGTTTCGGGGCTTAGAAACAGGAAGAGAGGGAAGCAGTGAGCCAGGGACAGACAGGCCAAGCACAGGCCCAAGTCCCATTTCCAGCACTGGGAAAAGCCAGCAGACACCTGGACACGCGTGGCCCTGGGCCCCACCGATGACCCACCAGAGAGCCATAGAAGTGACGTGTGTGCAACACGCGTGTGCAGACACAGCTGGTGGCATGGCCCAAGCTAGTGCAGAGTTCAGGGAATGAGACGTGAGTGGCAAATGGAAGCAGAGGGCTCATCTGCCTGGGGGTGGCCCTGATGCCCCAGCACACATGCATGTGCACAGAACATGGACACACAAGCAAAGACACGCTCCTACACGCGTGAACTCACACACGATCCACACAAACACGCCTTACATCTCTGCACACAGACACAGGCACACACAGGAACACCTTTACTCACACATACAGACATGTCCAAGTGTGTGCACGCACACACAGGCACAGGCACAAGCACACACTCACACCGGCCTGGGGTAGGGTGGTGGCTGCGGGTGGATGAGGCACGTGTCCGGGGAGGGGGTACCGTTTCCCAGGGAAGAAGCTGAGCCTCACACAGCACTAAAGGCCCTAACCCCCGCCTCCATCCAGGAGGGACATTCTGCCCTTGGAGGGGCTCAGGACTGTGCTGTGGCAGGGTCAGGGAAGCACAGATGGGCATGGATGAGTGGAAGGTGCAGGTGGGGGCCGAGGGGCTACTTACACTGGGATCTCATTGGTCAGTTCGCTTGGAAACAAAGAGACAGAGAGGTGAGAAGGAAGGAGGGGGACGGGGGGTGGACACTGGGGCTTCCCGCCTGGCCAGAGCATGGTGTCCTGCCTTGTGGGGTGCGTACAGACAGGACCAGACAGACAGCGGAGGGTGCACGATGTGCCGGCTCCTGGGCCATGCATTACCTCTCGATCACAGCGTTGAGGTACTCGATGTAGGTCCTCCCATCGAAGGCCAGTGCCTCGAGGTCCCCTGCTGACTTCTCAACCAGCCCTGGGAGACAGGCAGCGTGAGGTGGGCCGCAGGTGCAGGCCTGCAGCCCTGGCCCAGCCCCAGGTGCTCACCCTTCTCGCAGTGCAGCCCCGAGAAGCCCATGGGGCACAGGCATGTGTAGGTGGCTTCCTTTGGGAGACACCAGGCGCCATGGAGGCAGGGGTGGCCGGAGGCCTGGGTACAAGGGTGGTCTGCAAAGGATGAGACGTCCACCGCCTGCACCACGTGCTCCTGGGCCAACAGCTGGCGGCCTCCCAAGGAGACCTGCAGGGCACAGGGTGAGAGCCTGTGTCTCAGCAGCTGCGCCCTCCCTGCCCTGCAGTCAGCCCGGGGCCGCCCCTCCTCCCCTGCTGTGGAGAGCCCTGGCCGGAGGCCCCCACCCCAGGCCTCGCACCAGCTGAATGGCACCGTCGAAGCCAGAGGATGCTGCAGCTGCCCGGGCCAGCTTGCTGAAGTCGGGGGCACCGCCGATGTAGAGCGGCTCCTTCAAATTGAGCATGGTRTGCGGCACCTGCAGAAGGCGCTGGATGAGGGTGTGCAGGGCCTACCCACTAGGCAGGGGCAGGTCTGAGTCCCAGACCAGGGTGCCCAACTGCCTGACACCCACACCCCAGCCCCTAGCTAACTAGCAGGCAGCATTAACCACACAGAAATGGTGGACAGGGGCCTGAATGGGGAGGAGCTACTCTAGGGTGGTGTCAGACAATGAGCAGTATGAGCAGCAGACAATACCTTGCGGGATTTCTGACATCCGGAGAGCATGGGGGTGCAGAGTAAGAGCCAGAGAGCAGGGCAGAGAGGAGACAGACCAGGCACAGGACAGACGAGAGAAAAGAGTTTTGTAAGAACTGGCAGGGGGGCTGCCAAGCCCCCAGGAGGAGGAGGAGGAGGAGGAGGCGTAGGAGCAGGGCGGGGTGGGGGACACTGGGGCCCTCCTCACACCTCAGACACTCACCGGGGACTCTCCCAGCACGCGGGGCCCATCACCCACACGCAGGGCACCCTTACGGCCGTTTCTCTCCACCGAGACCCTAATCCAAGAGCCCAGGGCTATGGGTTCCTTGCTCCTGTGAGGAAGAGGCTGAGTGAGCAGGCTGTGGGCTCTGCCTACCCGCTGAGTGACCATGTCAGGAGCCCCAGCCTTACCCCGGTCCAGTCCCAGGCCTCCCGGCCCTCCCTGTGGGCAGCCCAGGACAGAGCCCACAGCCCTCATGCTTGCCCACCTGATGACTGCTGCCCCTTTGCCCAGGTCATAGCGGAATTCCAGGTGCTGGTCCTGCAGGGCCAGTGACACGAAGTCCCCTTTGCCGTCTGTCTTTTGCCCATTGTACAGGAGCAAACCACTGGGTCCGCGGGCCAAGAACACCACCTCGAGGGCCATCTTCTCCCTGGGTCACGTGGGTCAGGGTGTCTCACTGCCCCTTCCCTACAGGCTTCCTCCCCTCCCCTGCCTCCCCTACCCTACTGACCCCAGGTCTCTCTCAAAGGTGTGCAAGCCTCTCAGCTCCAGGTAGGAAAAGCCATGGAAGTCCGCCAGGAAGGGCTGGGCACTACCATCCATCTCAGACACTGCAGAGGGAGGACAGGGCTCACTCAGGCTGCGTACCCCACTGTCCTGCCCAACTCGGCTCAAACCCACAGGACCCAAATCCCAGCTCTTCCTGGACCTGAAGATCGGGCCACAATTCAAACTGAACATTTGACCCTGACTTCTTGTCCCCTCCCGACAGCCTGGCGCCCCTACCTGTCTGGCAGAGAGTGCCTCTACGTCCCGCGGGGCACTCGCACCTGGCCCCGCCCTGGGGTAGCACGCGGCAGGGGGCTGCACCGTGGCAGGGGTTCGGCTGGCAGGGGCTCTTCTCTTCCGCACAGGTTGGGCCTGGAGGGAGATGGAGGTGAATTCCAAGAAGGCAGGCCCCCGACACCTGGTTCCCAGCCCTCACCCGGATCCCAGCCTGCCCTCACCAAAGCGTCCAGGTGGACACTGGCAGTGAAACATGTCGTCTCCCAGGGCCTGGCATGGTGCCCCACCAYGGCAGGGGCTGGGCACGCAGGGGTGCGCTCCACACTCTCCCACCCCGGAGCTGCGGGACACCACGCCCTGCCAGGGGCCCAGCTCCAGGCGCTGATTGTTGACATCCAGCAGGCGGATGCAGCCCTTCAGGCCCACGCCCACGGAGGTCCGCTCACGGGCCCTGCCACCAGGAAGGGGTCAGAGTAAGCTCAAGCAGAGGCCTCCTTCTCGCGGCCAGAGTCACAGGGGTCCAGTTAGGGTCAGAAGTCAGAGCTGCTCCATCCCATCACCCTTTAGACAAAGCCCCACAGAGAGGACCCACCAGAAGGTGGGGCCGAGGTTAAGGGTCAGGACCGGAGGTAAGGGTCAGCCCAGGCCCTCCTCACTCTGGCACCAAAGGTCAGCCACCCAGATGGGACAGGGAAGGGCCAGGAGCCCCCGCTGAGCTCAGGGTCCTAGCCACACCCACACCATTCTTCTGATCCCATTTGCTATCCCATGGAGGCTGCTCTGGTGGAATGGAATCCCAGGTCACGATCAAGGTCAGGGACCCAGTTTGATGCCCGCTCCACCCTCTTGCTCACACGTCAGCCTGGTCCTCTGGGACTCCGCCCACAAAGAGGTCGGTATCTAGGTTGAGGCCATCTGTGCCACTGGGGCTCTCGCCCAGAACTGGGGTCTCGCCATCCACTGACAGTGTGCCTTGGCGCCAATGCCGTGAGAGTTCCAGGCGATGCCACCGGCCTGGTTCCACAGGCACTGAGCTGGTCAGTATTGCTGGTCCAGAACCTGTGTCAAACCTGGGGACCCCAGCAGGTGCTTAGAGCCCTGGCCTGGCTCCATCCACAGTCTGGAAAGGAACCACCCACCAATTCCTCCCTGGAAGGCCCCGGCCCCGCCCACTGAGCATCAGCCCTGCCCACCCGCCCTCTCTGCACCTGAGCTGCACGCGCCCACCGAGCAGCGCCAGTGCCAGGAAGTCCTTGCCACGGGCGTTGCCGTTGTACAGCAGCAGTCCCTGAGGCTCCAGGGATCGGAATTCCAGCGCCAGGCGCAGCGTGTGATATGCACGGAGGGTGGGGAAGGCCAGAAAGGAGGCACCCCCAAAGGCAGGAACAGAGACAGAGGGGCGCAGCACTGCAGGGGAGAGGGAGGGTGAGCTGGAAGAGGACCCAGGACCCTGCCCCTACCACCTCCTGCYGGTGGCGTATCTCTGCCCTCCCTCCTGGCCCCCATCAGCCTTCCTGTCCTGCCAGAGAGGTGGACAAAAGCGCCTACCGTCCTCACAGAAGGTGCCTCCCCGGCCTGCCGGGCAGCTGCAGGTGAAGCCCCTGCCAGAGTCCTGGTCCTGGCAGGTCCCCCCATGCAGGCAGGGCTGAGAATCACAGGACCTTGGGTGCTGCTTGGGACTGGGGAGCAAAGGCCAGTGTCCAGCCACATGGCCGGGAGCTGTGGTGGGGGGCCGGCGTGTGTGTGGGGGGGCCGTGGTCCTTCCAATGGGCCTGCTGGTGTGACTGGGGGGGACCCGAGGGGTCACGGAGGAAGGTGGTGGGCCCACAGTGGTAGCTCTGGCCGTGGCCACTGCAGCGGTGGCTCCTGTGGTGGCTCCCATGAAGAACGCAGGAAACCAGTCTGTGGGGCAGGGAGTGGTCAGGGTCTGCAGGGAGCAGGGGGCGGGGCGGTGGAGGACGGGAACAGACGGGGAGGCCTGGCCTGGCGCTCACCGAAGTCCACGAACCGCACGTGCTCCTGCAGAGGCCTCCGCACCGCCAGGGCCCGGCGCCTGGAGGCCTGGATCTGCCGCAGCAGGGCCCRGCCCACGTCAGGTGCTCTGAAGGCTGTGGCTGGGGAAGAGTGGGCACTGAGCCTGGCCTGGCCCTGTGCAGCCCAGACCCGCCACCTCCGGGGAGAGACTCGGGGCGGGGTCTCACTGGGGTCAAAGTGCACATCCACAGTGGCACGGACTGATCGGCCAGGCCCCAGGTCCCGCAGGTGGACACTCCGGAAGTCCTTTTTGACGTCTGAGTTCCGGAAAAGGTCGTCCAGCTGTGGGCAGGGAGTGAGTGAGGACACTGGGCACCGCCCAAGCCACTGAAGTCGGTCCCCTGGCACTGTGGGGTTCCTGCCTGGCCCCCTCTGGGTCTGGCCTGGGAGGACGCCCCCGCTTACAGCGCTCTCGATGCTCCGGGCCGTCTCCCCAAACAGCTCCGACTTGGGGTCGGCCATCTCGGGTGTGTAGAACAGCTCTTGCCCCTCGACCCCCTCCAGCTCCAGCACGCCCTGGTACGCCTTGGTGGCTGTGGGAGAAGGGGCGGTGAGGCCCTGCCTGGCACCCGCCTGGAGCGAGCCACGTGGGGTACAGGGGCAGGTGGACGTTAGTCAGATGGTCATGAGGTTAGTGGGGACCCCGGGGCAGGGCTGGCGTCAGTTACCAGGCAGACTCCTCAGAGCAGTTGCCCCAGGCTGGCTTGCAAGGAGAGAGACGGGTTAGGTACACGGTCCTGGGCACGCCCATGTGTGAGGGCTGAGACCACACGTGTGCACCTGGGTGCCGGATCCCCAAGATCTCCTAAAACCTGGACCCACCTGCTGCCAGCGGGTAGGAGCAGCACCATGGCTGCCCAGGCTGCTCCTCAAGCTCCACCTGCCCAGCCGCCCACTCACCAGGACAGTTGGAGCCCTCTGCGTCCCGTGAAGGTGTCTGGCCATCCGAACAGCAGCCCAAAGGTGAGTTGTAGCAGGAGGCTCTCTCCATGGGTAGTCCCTGTGTCACCATGCTGCTGTCCATGGAGAGTTCCAGTCCTAGGGATGCGCGGTCTGAGTCCAGCCACAGGTGGGAACTGCCCTGGGGCCTGCCCCAACAAGCCCCTGCTCACTCCCCAGGCCTGTCCCATGTCCCGAGCCCCTGCTCACCCCAGGCCCACCCACATCCCAGAGCCCCTGCTCACCCCAGGCCCACCCACATCCCGAGCCCCTGCTCACCCCAGGCCCACCCACATCCCGAGCCCCTGCTCACCCCAGGCCCACCCATGTCCCGAGCCCCTGCTCACCCCAGGCCCACCCACGTCCCCGAGCCCCTGCTCACCCCCGGAACCCCCCCCACTGGCCTCCTGGTCCCCACTTAGTTCCTCATCGCCACTCCCATCAGTGCTGCCAGACTCTCCAAAGGCAGAGGCGGACAGACTGGTTGCAGTGGAGGTCTCTATGGGGGGCATGGTCAGCACGGGYCGAGCTGTGGTCCTGGGGGTGCTGGCTGTGGTCCGAGGTCGTGAGGTGGGTGGAGGGGCGGGCCGGCTCTGGGGGGTACTGCTGGGAGCCAGGGGGAGGGCACTGGGTGGAGGCAGCAGAGGCTCGCTCGGCAAGCGCCCCGGGGTCGTGGCCCTGGAGGTCGGGTGGGCGCCAGGAACGACAGCCACTGGAAGGAGAGGGAAGCTGGGGCTGGAGTCSGGGCAGGGCCAGGCCCTCCCGTCAGCGCTGGGTGGTGGCTCCAGACCCTACCCTGGCACGGGCCGAGGCTCTGGGTGAAGATGTCCAAGCCCTGGCGGCAGGCGATGGTCTTCAGCTGGCACTCGCTGCCGTAGGTGATGCCATCTGATCCACAGACCTGAGGCGCCAGGCAGGGGCACTCAGGCGGTTCCCCCACCCGCTGCCCTTCACACTCTCCACCCTCACCTTGCTCACCTTGGTGGCACTGGCCTCTGGGCAGGTGAGGGCTGGGCAGACGCAGTGGGCAGAACCTGCCTCTTCCACGCAGGAAGCGCCAAACTCACAGCGCATCTCCGCGCAGGTCACCAGTGCTGAAGGGTCTGGGGTGGACACAGAGACCCCACCAGCTCAGGCTGTCCCTCTGTACAGCAAACCCCAGGCCGGCCCAGATCTTGTCCTCACCTGCCTCACAGCCGGTGGGGCCCAGGGTGTGGCCCTCAGGACACTGCCCACACTTGGGACCAGCRACGCCTGGCTTACAGGAGCACAGCCCCGTCATCTGCTCACAGTCATCCCGCACAGCACCCCGGGGGTCACAGCTGCAGGCTGCGGGGAGGGGAGCCCGAGTCTGTACCTAGACAGTCTTCTCTACCTGCTGCAGGGCCTACCAGGTGCAGCTCAGGCCAGGGCCTGAGCACAGTGATGGGGGGGGACAAGCAGGAGGACTTGACTGGCAGCCAGCCCTGGGGCCCTGTCACTCACGAGTACAGCCGCTCCGGCCGTCAGTGACGATGCCACGGAAATTCCAGAAACCAGGTTCACATCGGTCGCACTTGAGGCCGCCCACACCTGGCCGGCAAGAGCACTGGCCTGTGGCTGGGTCACAGGTGCCTCCGTAGGAGCCATGAGGGTTGCACTGGCAAGTGCCTGCAAGGGAAGGGGGGAGGGACAGGGTCAGCACAGTGACACAGCTGTGCCAGGCTGGGGGTGAGGGTACTCAGGTACTCACTGGGGCAACCGGCCAGGCCCACACCCCGGGCAGCAGTGACATTATCCTGGCAGCATCCGTAGGGGGTCTGGGCACAGTGAGCGGGGGCTGCAGGCAGCAGCGGGGCCAAGGTGAGGCCTGCAGAGAGGRGTGTGGGGTCAGACTGCAGGCCGTGCGGTGTGCCCACCCTCTGCCTCACCCTCCTCCACACCACCACTCAGCCTGACACCAGGCCCCTCGGGTCTGGAATCTGAGGCTGAGGCCCTGGGGGAGGCCACCATCATCATACAAGGACATGCAAGTGCCAGATGTAGGACCCAGCACACAGGAAACACAGGGCCACATACACACAGAATACCCAAAGTCACGGACACGGCCCTGTGTGTACACAGAGCTCTGGACCTACAGTTAAGTGTAAAGGCAGCACACACACATGAAGACGGACACACACACATTCCTCCAAACCATGCACATTTATATACAACTGTACAGACACATCTGTGAACATGCGTGAGCATACCGTGAGCACTCGTGTGTGACATGTGACATTTACAGACCACTGTCAGTTCCTGCCCAGAAGGTGCCCCGTGGTTTCCTGCTGCCTCCTGCATAGAAGCCTGGCCTGACCTGCAGTAGGTACTTGGCAGACACTTGCTTTTATGAGGCAGGATCTCACGGCACGGCTCAGGCTGAGCTCAAACTCACAATCCTCCTGCCCACCCTCCCGAGTGTGGTGCCTGCTTTGACAGATGGGCTTGTGTCCACAGTGCACGTATCAGTGCTTTATACTCAGAAGARCACACAAGGCCACAAGCATCCCWCAGCACACACGGATGCCCACATGCCCACACCAGGGCAGACATACACCTTTGAATATGCACACACAGAAGCGCAGAGGCTGCTGCACCRGCCCACAGAACGTGCCCTGGCCCACTCACCACGGCAGGGTCCCTGAGCTGCGACGTACAACTCTCCTTGAGACTCGCACCTGGCCCTCTTCAGGTCACACTCACTGCCATAGGTGACCCCATCTGAGCCGCACACCTGGGGGGTGGGGTCAGCGTGGGCAGCCTGGGCCCCTTCCTCACTGCCCCCCTCTAGCTGGGGGAGGTGGGGGCTCACCGGGCTCCTGAGAACACCCTGGCAGCTGAAATCGCAGACGCAGGGTCCATCCTCYGAGTCCTCATCCCACACCCCGCCTCGCTGCCGGCAGAGTTCCTGCTCACACTCGCTGTCCTCCCCAGAGCCRGAGCCTCCTGAGCCACACTCAGCTGTGGGGAAGGAGGGCAGTTCACCCACAGGTTCTCCCCGGAGGCTGGSGCCCACAGCTCAGGCAGCTGCCGCAGCCTACCCTGCTCACAGGGCCCTGCCCGGGCTTCCTCAAGCTGTTTCTGCTGCCGGCAGGCAGCCTCCCGTAGCTCACACGCACTGCGGTAGGTGACCCCGTCGCTGCCACACACGGGGCCAGGCGGGGGGCGCTCACAACGAGGACACACACACTGCCCGGCTGAGCACACAGCCCCAAAGGCACACACCGTGTCTCCACAGGTCTCTGAAACATATGGAGCCGGCAGGGCTCAGCAGGCCCAGCTGGAGAGTGGTGGGACCCTAGCCCCCTGGCCCCCATGGCCCCACTCACGACAGTGTCCAGCTGATGCCACATGCAGGCTTATCTGGTGTGTGCAGGCGTGGACATGCAGCTCACACTCGCTGGCATACGTGTGCCCATCAGAACCGCACACGGGTTGGGCTGAGGCCACGCACTCAGAGGGGCACACACAGCGCCCGGTCTCGGCCTCGCACAGGGCTCCAAAACGGCACTGCCCGCATCGGTCTGGGGAGGGGGCTTCGTCACCACTGTGTCAGGAAGGCCATCCCTCCCAGACCTGCTTGTCCACTACTGACCACAGGGTCCTCTGCGGGCCACCCGGATATCCCGCCCAAGGGCACAGGCCATGGCCTCCAGCTCGCAGGTGCTGCCATAGGTGACGCCGTCACTGCCGCACACGGGGTCGTAGGCGCCTGCACACACTTGCTGGCACTCGCACGCAGCCTCCCCGTTCTTCACGGCGCAGGTCGCCCCGAATGCGCACTGCACCCCCCGGCACGGGGACGGAGCCTGGTCTGGGAAGGATAGGGCACTCAGCCCACCTGCCACCCCCCATACTGGGCCAAGCCCCCAGCCCCACGCAGCAGGCCCTCTCCCAGGGTGGGGTGGTCCAGGAAGAGCTTGATGTGCAGGACATAGCAAAGAAAGGGACAGACACACGACAGAGGCAGATGGGGACACAGGAGCCTCCTGACTGCCCACAGCAGGCCACTGACCCCGACCACCAGCAGCCCTGGGACACCCATGCATGTGGGGGCTCTCTCCAGGCTAAGAGGAGTCTGCACCCCAGAGTCACACCCAGGGCTGCACGGGGAGGAGGTGTCTGTCCACTTGCTCTGAGAACCACAAGGCCAGGCAGTAGCGAGCCACCCCCCCCAGCCGCACCAGGGGCAGACCTCGGGCTGTGGGCTCCTGGTGGGCAGGCGCGGCACCTCATCCTGCCAGCAGGTCAGGCTGGAAGACACAAGAGGAGGAGCCGAGAGGGAAGGACCGAGGAGAAGACAGACGCAGAAAGACAGACCAGAAAGATGGACAGAGGACTGACCCAGATGGACACAGGGTCACCGCAGCCCTGGTCCCCATGGGACATGCTGGCCATTTCCCAGCTGCCTCCTCCCTCCAGTGGCCCCTTAAAATCAACTGAGATCCTGCCTCTGAAGGGGCTGGTGACAGTTATGTCCCAAGAGTGAGGGACCCCACCGTGGTATCCACTTCCTGCCCACCCAAGCAATCTCTACCCTCAGGCAGGACAGAGACGGATGGGCAGACAGACTAGAGGACCTACAGCCTGGACTTGCATGGCCAAGTGCAGGCCCATCTCTGACCGCCTCCCTGTGTATCCAAGCACCCTACCCTCCACACCCTGCACCCTCCCAGGGGACCCACCCTGGCCCAAGACCCTGGGAGGTGGGTGCCAAGGAATGAAGATGGCATGTGATGGTGGGCAAGGACTGATGGCGGGGACCACAGGGTGCTCACCACACGGGCCCTGGTGCCTGGGAGGGATGGCTCGCTGCTGCCGGCACTCAGCCTGCTGGCGCCAACAGTCGTTGTCATACGTGTGCCCATCCTGGGCACACACCGGTCTGTAGGCCCCATCACAGGTGACACGGTCGCAGGAGCAGCGGGGTCGGCCACGGCGGGACAGGCAAACGGCACTGAACTGGCAGGTCCCGGAGCACTGGTCTGGGGGTGGGCAAGGAGATCAGAGAGGCCAGAACCCCACCAGCACCTCCACAGCAGGGGCCCGACGGACACGGAGGCAGGGGACACTCTGTGTGCAGGGGAAGCAGCCCACCTCGAGGCTGGCACTGGCCAGAGCGCACTTTCTGGAGGAGCAGACCGCGGACAGCCCCTGAGCGGCCCATGACGCAGTCGTTTGCATAGGTGACCCCATCATCCCCACACACAGGCAWWTGCCGGGGAGGGCAGCTCTCTGGGCGCAGGAGCATCTCTGGACGGCGAGTGCGCGGGTTCACACGGCAGACGCGGCTCGGGTCAGCCTGGGCTCCCTGGCAGGGGTCTGGGGGCGGACAGGCAGGAGTCAGGGTGATTGCCTGCACGCCAAGGAGAGGAGCCCCACATGGGCCAACACTCACCACAGGGGCCGTCGAACTTCCTAAAGATGTTCTCCTGGCGTGCGCATGCCCGGCGCAGCAGCTGGCACTCACCGGGGTAGTCCATACCATCACTGCCACACACGGTGCCCTCCGGGGCCCCGCGGCAGGTCGTGGGACACAGGCAGGAGGCGGTCTGCCCATCGGCGGAGGGGGCACAGGTGCTGCCGAAGCTGCAGGTCACGTTGGAGCACGGGTCCCGGGAACCTGTGGATGGCAGGATGGGATCACCTTGGCTGTCTGTCCACCTCCAACACCTGGCCCACCCCCCCACGCTGGGCACACTCCCTTACCACAGGGTCCGCGGCGGAGCAGGCGGATTCGCCGCTGCAGGCGGCACTGTGCACGCTGCAGCTCGCACTCGTTGCTGTAGGTGGAGGCATCTGAGCCGCACACTGGCGCCACGACAGCAGGACAGGCGCTCTTCTTGCACACGCAGGAGGCCCGGCCTGGGTCCTCTGCACTGGGCTCACAGACCGCGCCAAAGCCACACAGCATTCCCCTGCAAACTGAGGTCGGGCACGGGAAGGGGTTGTTGAAGCCAGGTCCCAGGGCTGGGCACTGCTGCGGCCCTCACAGGCACATCCACACCCGGGTGTGTAAGCATGTTCAAGCCCACGCATGGCCACGAGTGTCATGGACACTCTATTGCGCATGTTCACAGCCCCCTGGATGGCTCCCCTGCCAACCYAGGGACCTTTCCTCATTGGAGAACACTCTCTCTACCCTCTACCAGGGGAGAGGGGCCTCCTGTCCCCATAACAGGACAAGCCACCCACTCCCATCCCACCTCAGCAGTTTCCCCAACACACAACAGGAGAGGACCCCAGGCCAGGTCCGAAGCAAGCAGTYGAGGCCCCACTCTGCCCAGAGCCCCCTCCCACAGCAGCCATCTTGTTACCCCCACGCAGGCCAGGCTCCTCCCAACTCAGGCCGTAAGTTTCTGGGGCCTCATCTGGGAGCTGCCTGGGTATTCCCCATGCCTGACCCCGGCCTCTCCCCAGCTCCTAGCCTTGCCCCACAGCCCCTCCCAGGGCAGCTGCTCTGCACAGCCTCGAGCAGCTGGTGGCACAGCTGGGCCTGTCATCTGAGTCTGCCATTTCAGCCCTTAGTTCTGCAGACAGCAGGGTGCAGCCCACGCCCCATCATCATTAGGCCTCCACTGCGTCCCACCGTGTGGGCACAGGGAAAGGCTGGCCCTCTGTCACAGTGTACAAATGGGGACATGGAAACCCAGGGTCGTTAGGGAGGACCCCAAGGAGCCACCCTGAGCCCAGCACTGGGACTGGGGATAGGTGGGCTCCTGAGGTCAGTGTACCCATGGGGGAGGCGGGTCCATTAGGGGTTGCAGCTGCCTGGATCTAATAAATGTTTCATCTGGCTCAATTATCATTAATAAGTCATGGTGTCAGGGCTCCCATCAACCCCCCCCAGRTTGTGGAAATGAAGCAGAAGACCCCTCCCCATCTCCTAGGAGAGGTGCAGAGCCCAGGAGCTAGAGCCAGCCGTTGCCATTCCAACAGCCCACCCCAGGCTTCCACCTGCCTGACCCAACCCTGGCAAGCTGAAAAAACAGAGGCCGCAGCCTGCCTTCCCTGCCCCCACCCGTGTTCCCCTTCCCCCCACCTCACCATGCCTCAGTGTCCCTTTCTGTGAACGGGACAATAGGACCTGCTTCCAAATGACTGCAAAGCTCAAGAGGCACTGGGCACAAGCACCAAGTGGAGGATGAGCTACACCTACAATAACGGACGGTCACCACCACTGGCCTCCCCTCTATCCTGGCTCGATCTGGCTCCATCTGTCTGCAGTGCCCCCTCTTCCTGCCAGGCTGTAAGCGCCCTCCACTTCCCCTCTCTCTCCCAGTGGCACATCCCTCTGAACGCAGCCCTTTCTGGCCCAGGCTCCTTGTGACTCCCAAGCCAAGTCCCACAGGCCCGTGCTGATGCCCAGTGGTGCTCTTGGGCTTCAGCTGGACCTGCTGATCCAGGCCTCCAGGGTTGAACCCCAGGGTCAAGGGCCCAGTCACCTCCCGGCCCCTGGGCTCCTTAGCTTCTGCTATCTGTGCCCTGGGCTTTCCCTCTCTCTGTCCCCGGATCCACCAGCTCTCTCCCAAGGTCCTGACCCCACAGCGGGGAAGAGCTGTTCTTGGGGAGCAGCACACTCCTCCCCACCACCACCTGGTTCTCACCCCACAGTCCACCCATGTTTCCACTATAAAGCCACAGTTCAGAGCACACCATGCTGGTCCCTACTTCTGTCCCCTTCCAGGACAAAGTAACTTCTCTTTTTCCTTGGTTTCAGGTACCGGGGATGGAACCCAGAGATACTCAGGCATTTTCACATTTCTTATTTTTGAGATAGTCTTGCTGAGCTGCCCAGGCTAGCCTTGAACTTGTGACCCTACCAAACTCCCCATAGCAGCTGGATCACATGTGTGACCACCAGCTGGTCAGAGCAAAGTAACTTCTCAAGTTAATTCAGGAACCCCACTTTCAGGATGGGCCCCACTTTGTCCCATGCTTAGGCTGGGAGAGGGGCTGCTCCCTGGTCCCCTGTTGGTACCTATAGCACGACTGCCCCTTTACGTGTCTCCCTGGCCCATGGGACCAGGAGATCGGGAGGGCTGAAGACAAGTTTCTTGATTGAACTTTCTTGAGTCATAAACACAGAGACGACCCCCCCCTCCCACAGGCCCACCAGCAAGCACACACACAGGCACACCTGCGCACAGGTGCAGGCAGGGTCTGCCACAGCAGCCAGGCCCTCCTAGACGACCCCCCCCCACAGGCCCACCAGCAAGCACACACACAGGCACACCTGCGCACAGGTGCAGGCAGGGTCTGCCACAGCAGCCAGGCCCTCCTAGGCATACTCCTTCACACACATAATGCCCCTCCTCAAGCCCACTCAGCAGAAGAGGAAACTGAGGGCAGAGGTCTCCTGAAAGTCACTACTAAGGAATGGAAGAGCTGGACTCGAGACACACCTGCTGCCCGTGACCCCTCATAAATTCAGGTGACATGGTTCCCTAGTGGGTCACCCTGCTCAGTCCCCAGTGGAAGCCTCTCCCTGGCCACTGAGCRTCCCACCGGAGCAATCTCTCGCTGCAGTGCGGAGGTGGAAGGGCTTTTTATAGCCACAGATGCCGCTGATATATTTAAATCTCCTCCTGGTCTAGGGTGGGTTGGGGGATGGAACCAACGCCCAGAGCCCTGCTTGTGGCCACTTGTGTGTCCTGATGGCTAGGGTGTGCACAGGGACTCAAGTGGGCAGCTGCGGGGAGGGTGGGTTAAATCGAGGGACTCAGGAGAGAGGCTGTAGACACTCAGTGCTCAGCCCCAGCCCAGTGCAGACTGGCTTCCTCCTTAGTCACCCACTGGAGGACATGGGCCCCTTCCTGGAAGATGTGGGACCTGTCTGGGTCACAGCCTCCTGCCCCAGGCCAGAAGGGGGACAGTGGTCTGAGATGTACCCACTGCCACTTACCCCATCAGCCACTGGTCCCCACAATACGTGCCAATACCAAGGGTCACATACCATGAAGGGGTGCTGCACTGCTCTGACCCCAAGGCTCCTGTGTCTCAGGAGAAGGATTGCAATCCCCCAGAAAGAGGTAMCCCAGAGGCCACAGACTCCCCTCCCACAGCCCAGGTGGGGCTCGGACCTCCGAGGGGACTTCAGGTCTGGTGGGAGCAGCGTGAGGAGGGGCTTTGTTGTCAGAGACCCGGGTTGCACAGCAGAGCCCTRGGCCAGGATGTGTGTCCCCACAGCCACCATCACCCATTCCTACTGCCCCACCCTGAATGCTGCCCAGCCCAGGGACCCTGGTACATTTGAAAATAYGCCTGTGATACCAGCTACTTGGGAGGCTGAGGCAGGAGGATTGCAGGTTCCAAGCCAGTCAGAAATTCAGTGAGACCCTGTCTCAAAATAAAAAGTAAAAAGAGGGTGGGCAAGGGCTGGGACTCGGTGGTAGGGCCTTGGGTTTGATCCCCAGCATCACAAGGGGAAAAAAAAAAAGAAAGCAGTCAATAACCCTGCAGCTTCCAGGAATAAGGAACAGTTGGTCACAGGTGACCCCTGCCCAGATGGCCACTGAAGGACAGCAGAGCCCCTTCATCCTGTACCCAGGAATCCAGCTCCTGCTTCTGGGTGCCCCATGATTCAGTAAGCAGCCCTGACTAATGCAACCCAGGGTGCATCCTGAGAAGAAGGCCCAGGGCCATGCCCCCACCCCAGCCACCCAGGGCTCTCTCAGGTGGTCCTCCCCACCCATGTCCTGCTTGTCAGACAGCTCTAGACATGCAGCTCTGTGACACTGGACAGACATCTGCCTGACAGAGAACCCAGTGACGGGGCAGGACGGAGAGCAGACCTGGGAGCTCCCACCGCCTGCTGAGGATGCAGGAAGGGTGAACAGACCATGGCAACCCCTTGGTCCCGGTCCTCTGCAGCACTAGAGCCTTCTCTTTCCCTCCGACATTAACCTAATTACAGAGGCCCATGCTCCAGCAGCCTTGTGGGAGGACGTCCCAACCCATCGGGATGTCCAGAAGGTCAGCCCACCCCTCCATCACTGGCACCCTCCCAGAGACAGAGGCCAGCCTTTCTGACTCCTCCTGCCATGCTGAGACACTCCCCACCCCCCAGCCAGTTTCCCCTCTGCACTTCTGACTTTCTCAACCCCTGCCTGGCCCCAGCCCTTCCTGAAAAGGGAGAAGGGAGGACAAAGGAGAGGAATCCCCCCACAACCAGCCTACTCCACTGCCCACCCCCACCCTGCCCACACCACCTGCCAGCATCTCACTTCTTACGGTTCCTCCCAATCTTGAGGCCCAGGGAAACCAGAGCCTGCCCGAGCGCAGCCAGGAGCTGAGACCCCGGGCTTACACTCAGGGGATGCCCCAGGAGGAACCCGGGCTCCTGGCCCAGCCCTCCTCTCCAGACACCTGGCACCCCTGGTCTACACACCCTAGAATGAACCCACCCTAGGAGGGCCCTGCCCACCTGCTACCCGGAGCTGTGCCTTCCACCCAGGCTGCCCCACTCACCGTCAGGAGGCATGGGAGGTGCTGGTGTGAAGTGGGTCCCAGGTTTGTCTGGAATAAAACACATCTCCAAGTTAGGGCCCTCGCAGCAAGGCCTTCCAGAGACCACCACGCCCACTCTGCCCTTCCCCCACAGGCTGGCTCAGACTCTGGAGAAGAGGGCAGGGGCCCTTGCCTTCCTCTGCCCTTCTAGCTGCATGGTCAGGGCTTGACACCCATCACCTGCCAAGTGGGTCCCCAGTAAAGTCACCTGATTTACCAAATAAGTCCAACCCCCCATTCCTAGTGCAACTACCCCTTTCTTACTCCCACAGGAAGTTGTTTCTGCCCCATCAAGATGGGGGTCAGCTGGCCAGGAGCCCAAGGACAGGACTCCAGAGCAATCCATTCCATCCCCAGAAGAATGTGTGGCCCATTCAAGCTAGTTGTGGCCCTTGGCCTGGCTGTGACCCTGCCTGCCCTGTACCCTTGCCAGCAGGGAAGCAGGACTTGGCCAGCAGAAGCTGGGCCACTTGGGCCCCGCCCAGCCGCCACGTACAGTTGTTGAGGAAGAGCAGCACCGCGAAGCCCAGCGTAGAGGTGGCCAGCAGGATCAGACAGACGTTGCAGGGGATCATGAAGTACCGCACCACCAGCGAGGCGCCAGGCTGCTGCCGGGGGGGCCGCTCCAGCGGCAACGGAGGCATGGCCTGGGGCTTGGCCTCTCTCTTGGGGAGTGGGGGTCCTCACGGAGCGCCCTTAGGCCTCTTCGGGGCGACTGCCCCCATTCTAGGTCCCCTGGGGCAGTGGACAGCTGCTGCGCTCTCAAAGTTCAGCCCCATTCACAGCCTGGGGCACGCCTGGCCCTCCCCGGCCCTCCCGGCTCATAACGGGATGTGCGCAGAATAATCCAGGAGCAGAAATCCCCAACGTGGGCTCAGAAGCCGGTCGAAGGAGGATGCAAGAAGGCCGGGGCCACCCCTGCCGCCGCCACCCTTCCGCCCGCCAGCCGGCGCTGTCCGCCGAGCGGGGGCGGGAGCCGGAGCCGGAGCCGGAGAGACCGAGGCGGCGGGACCGCGGGCGCGGGGCCTGCTGCTCGCGCCTGGCAGAGGCGGGAGCGCGATGGCAGCAGCGGGAGGAGCGACAGCGTCGTCGGAAAGAATAAAGAGCCGGCCGCGGAGGCGCTCGCCCGCCTCCAGCAACAGCGGCTGCCCTCACCCTCGCGAGGCTGGGGCGGTGAGTGAGGGGCCAGGGGCGCCGCGGAGGGAGGGCGGGGAGCAGAGACAAAGGAAGATGCCTCGGGGGACCCCGGCGTCCGCGGGGAGTCGCAGCTCAGAGCTGAGGATGGGCGGATGAGGGCCGACGCGAGTCACAAAAGAGATGGAGGGGCGCGCTGATGTGGGGGTTAAGGCATGACAGGGGCAGGATGGTGCTAAAAAGGGGACCGGGGCTTAGGGAGGGGTTGGCCAGGGGCAGGAGGTAGGGGCTGAGGCCAGGGGAGGGGCCAAAGGAGGAGCTGAAAAAGAACTGAGGCGGGCCAGGTGCTGGCGAGGTGGCTGGAGAGGAGGCTAGTGCTGGCCCGGGGATGGGGAGCGAGAAAGATAAGAACCAGAACCTCACTGGGGCAAGGGTGATAGGAGCTGGGGCTGAGTCGCAGGCAGAGGCTGGGCTGGTGCCYGGCGGGGCGGGGCAGTAAGGTTTAACATACCTATAGGGGGCTGGGCCCAGCACCTACGACCCGGTTCTAGGGTTCTGGGATTCGTCTGTGTGTGCCTGCAAATATGTCTGTTCTGATGTCTCCACCCAGTTGTGTGTGGGCAAGGGTCCCCAGGTAGGGTGCAAGGTGGAAGGAGGGTTGGTGTAAAGTGACGTGTCCAGAATTTGCTTTGCCCACTTCTCCCCTAGGAATTGGCAGCAAACACCTCAAATCATCAGTGCAACCTTAACTCCCTTCAGTGCAAAGAGAAAAAAATGCAAATGAACCCCAAGCAAATAAGCCGTYTGCAAAAAGCAGTTGTGGTCCCACGGGCCTAGAGCGCCCCCCAGCGGCCTCCCTTGGAACTCCGAGCCGGAGAGGAGGGCAGCCAGTCTGGAATCCCGAATCCATAGTAGGGCATCTACACACGGGCCCCGACTTCTGCTCCCTCCAAACTTGGGGGCACCATGGGTTGGAGAGGTCCCATAGCTTGGATCCCCACGCCATCCTGACTAGCCACATCTGTCCTCCTGAGGCCAAGGTGACCACCTCCATGGCTAACACCTTCACTCTCCTGGACAGATCTCTGAGCACCCATGCCCCCACCCTTCACTGGTCCTACTCACACCCCACCACACAAGCTTCCACGTGTGCCATGTCCTTTCAGCACTAGGGTTCTCCTCCTCTAGGCCAGGTTGTGCACCCTGCCAGAACCTGGTGCTCACTTCCCATAGCACCACCTAGGCATACCCACATGCTCTGCTGTCAGCTCTATATGCCCTCAGTAGGTCTCCCTTCCAGCCAAACTTCTGCTGCCACAGTTACCAGTGCCACCTCGTGGTCACTTGAGCTCATGTCAGTCCACCTTGGGAAAGAAGCACTGACCACACCCACCTCCCCCGTAGTCCCTGGTCTGTCTGTGGGGCTTTTTCTGCCCAGTCCTTGAATGAGTCCTTCCCAGGCCCAGAAATGGCCCCACCCCCACAGGGCCTCCATCCCACAGGTAGCCTGCTGGAGCTCCCAACCTACCGACTGCCTCCGGGCACTCRCACTCCACCCTGTCCCTCTGCTCCTACTCCTTCCACTGCCACATCCCACTCGGGAGTCACCCCTGCCCATCACCTGTGTTAGGGACCTTCCCATCTCTTGTGGCCCTGAAACCCATTGTTCTAATGAAACTTTGCAAGAAGTCCCAGTCCCTGGCCACCTTCACTTCTCCTCTGGGGAGCTCCTGCCCCAAACACCTCTGGACCCCTGACACTGTCCATGACACACTAAAAAGTGTCCAGGCGGTGCTGGCAACTTCCTGCCCAGGGCAGGGTCTGACTCCTAGAGCCAGAAAGCCGATGGAAGACTTGGTGTGGGGCACCCAGAGTGGCTCATGCAGGCTTTCCCATTGGCCTCTCACTGCTGGTTGGCAGACAGCCTCCCAGAAAGTGCCGGAGGCCAAGCCTCAGGAAGCACTAAGAATGTTCTAGGTAGGCTCTGCAGGAAGAAGCTAGGAATAGGGTAGCGGGGCTGGGGGCAGGGGTGTCTGAGTGGTAGTGGGAGCCCCTGGCAAAGTCTGGCTCCCCCAGAGACCCTGGGATCTGATACTGAAGGAGTGCCAACAGGCTGGCCTGGATGCTCACATGGGAGCCCGAGATGGCCCCAGCCAACACTGGGAATGGGGCTTAGGGTCCTTCGGTATCAGCCAATAGGAAAGGGAACAAGGTTGGCAGCCCAGCCCCACTCAGCCCCAGTCAGTGTCTTCACCCCCAGCAGGGGCGGGATGTCTTGAGAGACAAAGAGCCATTGAGGCTCCAGGCCTGAGGGGGAGGGGAGCTCAGGCTACTAAAGCTATTTTGGGATCTTCAGACAAAATCATTCAGCCTGGAGCAGCCCACGCAGGCCCATGCCCTGGGAATGAACAGGATACTGAGCCAGGAAACAGCCCCCGCAGCAACAGCAATCCCACACACTAGCATTCCTCTGGGGCGTGCARGAACTCCCACCCTCCAAGTCTGCAGCATTGGGGTCACACGCCCCCACCTGCCTGCACACACTAACACCCGCCCCATACAGGCTGTGTACACACTGAAGATCTGGCTGGGAACTTCCAGGTACTGCTCTGGGCCTGGAAAGGGTAGAAAGTCCAGCCCAGAGGCCACCGGCTGGCCCATTCTCATGCAGATGATCCCCCCTCCGCTCTGGAGGGGGTGGGGCTCCCTTGGAAAGGATGGGATGGGGTGGGGTGGGATGGCTGGGAGCCCAAGGAACCTAACTGCGGGACTGTCAGACGGTAGCAGGCCRCACAGAGGCACACACTATCTCCATTACAGGGGCCTCCCCCTTGCCATCTGCAGACGCACCTGCACCGTCTGACCTCAGACGGAGGGCGAGGCCTTCTGCTTCTTTGCCCAGAGGTGCCCTGCTCAGAGGGGAGCCTCTGTCTGTCGGCCTGGCTCCCCACCACACCACTTGCAGCCCCCTCATGCAGTTTCAAGCTGTGCCACATCTTCCTTGTCCCTCTCAGAAGACATGGGGAGCTTCACAGCAGGATGTCCCTGCTGGGCCTAGGCCAGCCACCAAGGGTTGGCCTTCTGTGGTTCCTCTTGCCAACTTCAGGTGAGGCCAGGAGGTGTCTGGGTCAAGCCTGTGCCCTTTACCTGCCCCCAAACAGGTACTCACCACCCTGAACAGCCTGCTATTCAGGGTGGTGAGTAAGTGAAAATTAAGGGACAGAGGCACAGAGGGCTAGCACACAGAATGGYGACACTCCAGGAGCCTGCAGTTCTTGACCCCACCCCTGACTTCTCAGCTGGCCCCACCCTATCACAAACGAGCCCTAACCAGCCAGTCAGCGTCCCTGACAGGGCTCAGTGTCCCAGGCACAGCCTCAGGGAGGCTATGTTGTAGCAGTTTCTAACAGCCYAGACAGTAGTGTGGCCTCTGGGGTGACATCTGCACACAGCCCAGGGACAGAAAGAGGGCTTTTCCACAGATTCAGAGGAAGAGCCCCAGACAGGGGCAACTGCCAAGGCCCAGGATGGGAACTAGCTCAAGAAGCTGCAGGAGAGCAGGAGGCCAGTGTGGTGAAGCCTGGGGAACAGGGACAGTGGGAGGGGCAACAGGCACTGGGCCACAGCTTCTCAGGGCAGATCTGGGAGGGAGTCCGACCCTGGGCCTCTGCCACAACCACCAGGGGGTGCCAGGTGAGCAAGTACCATGAAATATGCCCTTCCACTCCCAGGCAGCTCCAAACCCAACTCAGCCAGGCCCTGTCCGTCTTCAGGAGGAAGGAGGCTGTGTGGAGACAGGTGGAACCCAGATGTGGGTCAATGCCTCTGAGAGTCCAGCTGTCCTGAGCTGGGCCAGAGGCACCAGACACAGGGGAGGTGGGCATAACGGGGCTGGTACCACTCCATGGCCCAGGGCTGAGTTTTAGGGAGCTTCCTGGAGGTGCTGGCCAGCTGGGCACTGGGATGTAGAGGGAGGGGAGAGGTACAAAGGACCAAAGGTGCAGGAAGGAGAGGGCAGAGGCAGACCCTAGAGRGAGGAGCTTCCTCACGAAGGAGTGCAGGATCAGCAGAGGTCAGTCAGGTGACAAGGAGGAGGGTCAGCTTGTTCTCCCAGCCAGGGGCTCCTGGAAGCATGGCTGGCTTTCTGTCCTCCCCATGCTATGGCACCTTTCTCCCACCCTCATCCAAGGCACAGGGTACAGTTGCTGTTCGCCGCTTTCCCTGAGTACCAGTGCTCCCTSGCCCCGGAATGCACTGGGACCTCACATCTGTGAGCATGACGCCCCACAGGCCAGGCTGCTCCTCCAAGGGCCAGCGTGTGTGGCCCAGGGAAGGGCAGGGAGGGTTCAGGCCAACCTCAGGCCTAACTGCCCTGCACCCCGTCTGGCTGTGTGGGGAGGGGAAGAGTCTGCATCACTGCAGCCCCACCAAGCATGCCCTTCATCTCACCACCTCAGCTACTCCCAMGGGCAGAGCCCACAGGAGAAGGTGCTGGGCTCCCGGCAGGCACAAGGCCCAGCTGGACRGGGCAAGGGGACAGACTGGACAATAAGCAGCAAGCAGAGGTGATACATGTGCATTAAGGCAGAGGCCTCTCAGACACAGGCAGAGGGCGCCCACTGCCCAGACTTGAGCGTCCTCTTCCCAGGCTGAGCCCAGGGACACTAGCTTCTCAGGTGCAGATCTGGGAGGGAGTCCGACCCTGGGCCTCTGGAGATGGGTTCCACCTCTCTCCACTGCGCCAGAGCGTCAGGAACCACCACTGGCAGCCAGGCCAATGGAAAGTACAGAATGACTGCACACAGTTGGCCCCAGGCACACACAAGCACAGCTGGAAACAGCCTGCGGGTGAGCAGCTCTGCTCCCCCCTTCCACTCCACGGTGGGGGTGTGTGCAGGGAAGCCTGGGAGAGGCCAGCTCCCCTTTCCCAGGTCCAGCTGTGAGCAGCCCCTGCAGGGGGCCTTCCTCAGAGGAAGTTCTCAGGATCTGAGCTGGAGGGAGGGGGCCCTTCACTGGGGAGGGTCCCTCTCCACTGGAGGCTTCAAGGAGACCTTCCCCAGCCTGCGGCCCAGCAGCAGAACCTACAGGGGGCAGAGGCCTCTTCCCAGAGGTAACTCTCCCTGGGAGGGTCAAGTCTGCTAGACAAGGCTACCCTGGGGACTGCAGCCACCCCCAGCCCAGCAAGGCCTCAAAGCTGGGGAGCCCCACAGGGAAGAGCTGACAGAGGCAGGAGGGCAGCTCCCACCCCATGCAGCCCCCCCCAGCTCTGATGTGAGCAGCTGCCTGGTCCCCGGTGGAGACAGTGGAAGCTGCCCCCCACCCCTGCAGCAGCCACAGCAGTTTCCCACCCCCTGTCGTGATGGGGGTCGGCTTTGATCTTCTAGGTTTGGGGATCAGCCCTTCAGTGTGGGAACAGCCCCATTTTGACCTCCAGTCTCTCCACCTCAGCCTCTGGGGCTGGGAAGCTGGCTCTGACCTGCGTGGGTGTCCTGAGTAGGTGGCCTCTAACCTGGAATGCAGGGGTGCTGTGAAGGTGCAGGCAGGCCCCAACAGAACCCACTCCCTCTAGCACCCACTGGGCAGCCCAGGAGAGGGGGGGAGGCTGCTTCAAAGCAGACTTTTCCACTTCCAGTGGGGGGTGGGGGCACGGAAGGGGGGCTCTTCTCTGGGTGGGGATTGGGGGAAGGGGGTGGGTCTGGAAAAAGCCTAGAGCTGYTTCCAGTCCTGCCCTCCTTTGCCTGTGTAAGGCAGATCACCCCACAGAATCCAGGGCATTCCCCACCCATCCCAGAACTGCCCCAGAAACCCAGGGAAGCCAAAGACAAGACCGACCCACTCAGGTGCACCAGCAGCACCAGCAGCACCAGCACCCGGTGGGAAGGAGCCGGCCCCTCCCCCAGCCACACAGGCAGGTTGCCTGTGGCAGGCAGTCTCCGTGCCAGCAGCCTCCAGCCTGGACCTGCCTGGGGGAGGGGCCGGGAGGGCACTAGGTGTGGCCCAGGGGTAGGCTGAGAACCTGGAGTCTAGAAGAGGGCAGCAGGGACAGGGAGAAGCTACCTCCCATCTGCAGAGGAAGGTGGGAAAGCTGGGGGGTGGGTACAGAAATGGAGTACACAGCAGAGAGCAGCCCAGAAGCCTCCCCACAGCCTAAGAGATCAAGAGATYGGGAAAGGAACCTGGCCTGGGGGTCAGGATGCCCCCACCCACTGCCCCGGGACTGTCCTCCTGAGGGCCCTGGACAGTTGGCCTGGCAGGAAGGGCTTGACCAGAACACTGCTGGCTAGGCCAGACCTGGGAGCCTGGCTGCCAGGACCCCCAGCTTCAGGGCTGGGCAGAGCCCAGCTGGGCAGGTGCCAGGCTCACTCCAACCCTGGCCCCCTGCCCTGTCCCTGTGCCAGGCCCCGGCAGGGGCAGACAACACTTCCTTTCTCTGCTACTGGCTTGGAGTGGGGAGGGAAGGGCCTCAGGCTGCCCTGCCGGCCCCCAGTCAGGCCTGTGTCCCTCTTGGGGGCTTTGAGGCTTGGGGAAGCACCAGGATGCCTCCCTGAGGTGGAGAGGGAGGTGATGGGAGTGTGGGACAAGGTGGCAGAGGGCTGCCCTGAGCAGGCTCCCAAATGGCAGCTGCTGGCCCTGGAGAGAGGCTAAGCCAGGCCACTCTCCCAGCAAAGCAGGGGGTGGGGTTGCCTTCTGGAAGGAGCAGGAGGGGCCCCCAAAGGTGGTACAGGGGGAGGGGCACATACCTGTCTCAGTTATGCCAGGAATGTGGCTCCCCAGGCAAAGGAGGGAGGAGACTTCCTAGGGGGCCGTGGCTGGGGGAGGGGCCGACTGGACAGGGCCAGGAAGTTCCAGCTGGCCCAGGGGAGAAACTGAGGAAAGAAGCCGCTAGAAGGGGGAAAGGTCTCTGCCCTGGCAGCAGGACCCCTCAGGGCAGTGTCTAGGCAGCGGTGGGGAGGGCATGTTCCCAGACCGGATTCCCACCCAGAGGGTCCTGAAGACTAGATCCCCTGTGCCCTGCTGGGATGGGGCAGTGTGGGGAAGGGTCACCTAGGTTGTAGCCTTGTCTGCCCACCATCACTAGGACTGGGGAGGGGGCTGATGTGGTCATCTTCAGAACAGAAGAGGGACCCAGCCTGGGAGGACTGGGCCAGAGATGTCCCTTCAGCCTGGTCCCTCAGGCCTCAGGGGGGCCTGTCTTACCCTGCGTCACTGACGCAGGGTCCCTGTCCTAGCAGCCACGGAACCCTGGTCTGCTTCCAAAGTCGAGATTCCTGTCACTCAACCCTGCTCAAGTTCTCTGGGCTCCCCAAAACCTTACCGCGGAACCCAGATTCCTCACTCTGTCCCCTCTTCCTGGGGCTCCCCTGTGTCCCCTTGGCCTGTCTGGAAGCCCCCACCTGGCTTTTAGGTCCTAACTGATCCCTGAGCCACATGGCTCACAACAGGTCAAGCCACACTCCTGGGGGGTCTCCTTGGGAACTCTCCTCCCCAGCTGTCCCTCTGCTGGGCCTGGTCATTCCTAACACCAAAGCCCAGGCCTGGCATGGGCAAAGGAGGCTTCAGAAGCTGAATCCTCTGTGTGACCTCTGACTCCTTATCAGGCCTCAGTTACTGAGTCACAGACCCTCAGGAGGGACCCACCCCTCAGAGAGTTAATGATTTTCCTTCTSGATCTTTCAGGGATGAGCAGGGACAGCACCCAGACCCTCCTTTTCCAGGCCTTCCTCATCCCCCATGCCTCCATGCCATGCCCAGCCCACAGCTTCCAGGGCAGGACCAGGACTGGTCTTTGCCCAGTGGGATGGCCTGGCTAGACTCCCACGGCTCAGCCTTTGCTGAGCAGGGCCCAATCCAGGGGACCTGGAGGTAGCCCAGGAGCAGCTGACCACAGCTGGGGGACAGACCACAAGGCTGCCCATTCTGGGCTAGGTCCCTCCTTCTTCACAGTGCCCCCAGCAAGACAACACAGGGGGCGTGGGGAAGGGTCCTAGAGATCCCCCTCAGGAGCTGCATCAAAGCAGAAAGGCAGACAATAGTTAGGACTTCCCCACTGGCCAAGAGAGCACCTCAAATAAGTGGAAGTCATGACCCCTGCCACTGCCCTGAGGAGGAAGTTTCTCTCCGTCCCCCACCCCACATCCCATTCCAGATAGCCATAAGGGAACAGACAGGAAGTGGAGGCGGCAAACTCTTACATGCTCCCACCACATTCCCTGGCCTATCATGTRACAGGTCACTTCCCAGAGGCACTAACCTGTCTAGTCCCCAGCAGCACTCATCCYGCACAGCAGCTCTTCCCAGAAACCGTGGGCCTCTGGACACACAGGATCGGCCCCCAACCTCCAACCCCTAGCCTGGCCACCAGGGCTTTGCTCAAATGTGTGCACCCAGCCTAGGCAGACACGGGGCTTCTGCCAGAGCGTGGCAGCTGGTGTCCATCATTCACCTGGTGCCAGCTCCTCCCCTGGGAAAGAGCCCTCCAAGGGGGAAGGGGCGAGGAAGCAGAGGAAGCCAGTCCCTTTGCAGGGCTTGCTTCTGTTCCTTGGGCTCTGATGGCCGGATGACTAGAAATGCGGCCAGGGAGCAGCAAAGTAGGAATGAGGTGGGAACACAGCCAGACAGCCAGAGAGTATGTATTCCAGCTGCAAGTAAACCCCTCTTCACTCTCCCTGGGCCCAACGCTCTGCCACTCACCTCCAAGCCCACCTTTCACACATACCTGGCAGCCCTCTGCCCACCCCACTGGATCCCTGCACGGACCCCCCACGCACCTTCTACACAAAACTCCACCTCCTCCAGGTTGCGAAGGGTGATCCGCATGAGGCTAGAGTTGAGCATCAGCTCATTCTTATGGGCTGGCCACAGGTAGGGGGGTGCTGGGTTCACAAAGAAGATCCTGGTGTCCCCGGTAGACACCTGGTTGTCACAGATGAGGGGGTCTCCAAAGCCACCAATGACGACCTTGTTGCCACCATCCAGAAGGCTCTCCTGGGACACCACATCTTTGCCCTTCAAGTACCGCCAGACTCGAACCTGGGTAGACACAGGGGCAGGTGTTAATGGTCCTCTTCCTCCTGGGGGAAGGATACCAGACAAGGCCCGGGCCCTTCGGGCTCCGACCTCAGCTGCTCAGGTCGAATGCCCACAGTAGACACCAGGCCTGGGCAGAGATCTCTGGACTGCCCCTGGGCAGAGGCTGCAGGTAAATATACACAGTGCTGGGGTGGTGCTGCCCCACTGTGTCACGTGAGGACATGGGACCTCTTCATGTGATGTCTCATGAACACAGGCCCACCCCAGGAATTAGCTCCTATTCCAGGTCTAACCAAGATCAGCACCCCAACTCCAAAATGTCCACCTCAGCTCAAGCTGGATTTGGGGAGGGGCCCACCTGGTCTGGAGTGCCTGCCTCCTCCACCCCTCCTTTTCTCCCCCCCTGCCTACCACCACTTGCTCACACTCTGGGCAAAGCCAGGACTGGGACACAGGGATGGAGGGGGGTTTGGGAGCAAGCGGCCAGCCAGGATCTTGAGACCCCTGTGGGCGGGCTGACACCTTCCTTCCAGGAAATGAAGGCCCCCCTCCTCCAGCTCCAGCGTCAGGGCAGCCAAGGTAGCCGTGAGCCAYAAAGTCAAGTTCGGGCAGCTTTAGGCAGCCCCACCCTACACCTCTCCTCCTGGGACCCTGAGGGCATCTACTCTGACACTGTGGCAGGAGGGACAGCCACAGCCCCCGCCCAAGGCAGCCCACATCACAGGTCCACAGATCCTTTCACTCCCTGCAAATGGAGTTCTGGGAAGAGGCCCCTTCTTCAAGCACTGTTGGGGGCCAGGGCTCTTGGAGTGGGAGTGAAAAGACAATGGGACGCCTTTCCACCTGCCAGCTCAGGACTGCAGAGTCTGCAGGGACCCCTCCATCAGCTGGTCCAGCCTCATCTAACCTCCACACATCCAGTAGGCTCCAGCAGGAGAGAACCCAGGCAGGAGAGGGCCTGTAGGCTTTCATCGCCTCCCCCCACCCCAGCCACACCCAGGAGCAGGGGAGGAAGTCGGGAAAATCCTGCAGGGGCTTGGCAAAGTGCCCAGCGGTGAGGGGAGGGGCTCGGTGGGGGGGGACCCCAGCTGTAGCCCGCACAGACCACTCTGAAACAAGCCGCAACCCTCCCCATCTCCATGGAACAAGAATGATCCATTTCTGGTCGAGTGAGGTAGTCTGGGGGGCCAGAGGGTGGACCAATCTTGGGTCCCCAGGGCCCTCCCTGGAAGATTGTGGAGGAAACCCACCATACCTACTCCAGGAGCTCCCAGATCCAGCTGAAGGAGAAGTGGAACAAGATTCCCCTCCCTAGGGCCAGGGGAGCTCCAGTATTCCCGGGTGCGGGATAGAGCACCTGCCCCTGCTCCCCTTCCCCCACTGGGCCCAGGCACGCGAGGTTCAGCAGCGGCCCCGCCCACTCCCTGCCCCAGCCCCCCACAACCGTGGCCGCAGCACCCCTCAGCAGTCTCCCGACGTTAGGAAATTAAGCTGTGCACCTCTTTCTCCCGGCACCCCTTTAGCACTGGTGTCTCCGCCTCTGAGAAGGGAGAAACAGCACTGATCACAGGTAGAGCTCCCGTCCACACCCCAGGCAAAGAGCGTCACCTCCCCGACCCTACCCCCTTTTCTTTGGCTGGTGGGGAGGGGGCGCGGCAGCCCCCATCCTTCCTGGGGGGAGGTGCACTTGTTTTCGATAAGGGAAAGGGCTTGGGGCGGAGGGGAAGCCAACACCCGGTTGCCCGGCCTGGGCACCACGGGCGGTACCGCAGCAACACCGCAGGAACTTTCCCTGTCGCTCCAGAGTTTTCCGGGACCAGGCGCCCCACCCGGAGGCTTGGCGGTCGCCAAGGGAGCGCGAGCGGGGGCTGCGGAGCGTCCGGGATCATTCCCACGGCCTGGGATAGGGGTCCCAGCAGCGCKGCCGGCAAGCGAGGGGAGGGCCTTGGGGCGGCATCGCGGGGAAGAGGCCCCGGCCCGGGCCTCCCGGGGCTGGGGTCCCGGCGGGGCCCACCTTGCAAGAGTACGTGTGCTGCACCGGGTCCACGTTGAGGATCTCCTCCACCGTGCCGGTGAGCACCACGTTCGCCTCCTCCTCGCGCCGCTCCAGCGCGCGCTCCGGGCACGTCCCGCCGGCGATGGGCAGGGTGTGCGCGGCCACCACCAAGAGCAGCAGCAGTGGCCGCATTGGAGCCGGGCCGGACGGCCGCAGGCTGGCCATGGCGCAGCCGAGGACGGCGGAAGGCGGCCGGGAGAGCGCGCGGGCCGGGCCGCGCCGGGGACCGGACTGGACAGGACGGGACGCAGCCCCGGGAGGCGGCTGGAGCGCGGGCGGCGCGGGGGCGGGACGGGGGCGGGGCCGGGCAGCGCTGCCCCTCCCCCACGGGGGCCCGCCCCGCCCGCCCGGCGCCCTGCGACCCGCGCCGGCCGCGAACAAAGCACCGGGACAGCGGCGCCGGGCGGAGGCCGGGGGTGGGGGCGCTACGTCGCGCCGGGTGGCGGTGAGACCGTCCGGGGACTTCGGCAGGCCGGGGGCGGGGCAGGGCGGGCCCAGGGCTTTCTGCTGTGCTTCACCCCTGCGGACGCCCCTCCCCCGCCTGCGCGGTCGTCCCCCCCAGGAAATGCGGCTGAAGTCGGGTTAATGCATAATCTAGAGGCGACGTGACTGGACTTCCAAGGGGTTCGCGGAGACGACTGGGCCGAAAGAGAGGCTGCTGGAGTCCGGACCCGCGGCCCCTCGGCCCTCTGGCCTGCCCCTCCCCCGGCGGGGGAGTGGYCCCTCCAGCTGGGGTCCGCGACCGAGCTTTCGGGATCCAGACTCTTGCTCACTAGGGCGCGGGCGCGTCCCCAGCAGGCCGTGSCCCCCAAAGCGCACCGGTGCGGGCGGTGACTGACGGAAGCGGCGCGCAGACCCGCCCACATCCCGCCCGGGCCTCGCGGCCAGGGAGCAGGGCGCCCCCTGCTGTCCATCGGCTGGTGGTCCCGTCTGGGCGCCAGACACGCCCCCTCGCCGCTCCAGGCCGCTCTCTCCAGCTTATCCTGGATAGGTGAGGCTCAGAACTGGATCTGCAGTGTGCGAGGCACAGGTTTCTGAGCCAGAGGTATTGAGTGGTGGGTGGTAGACACTCCCCCAGAGGAGGACCCCAGCCCACTTTGGCCCTGGTGGGGGATTCCGGGAGAAAGTGACTCCAAGGATCTGTACTTACACTTGCTTTGTTGCAGCATGGCAAAAGGGGGACCTGGGCGGTCTTAGATCTGCATCCCATGCACCCAAAAGTGGTCTTCTGGGCCTCCAGCCAAATCATCCTGAGGCATTTGAAAGTTAAGGTCCAAGTGCCCCCAAGGTAGTGGTCCAGGGACCAGAGAGGTGCACATTCTTCCCACCGTACCCRGATCCTAGGTGCCCGGCCTGGCTCCTGTGGAACTCACTGGGTAAGCTGGTACAGGAGAAAAAGACTGAAAGAAGCATTTCCAGAAGAAGGGAGTGAATTGGCCCATCCGGGAAGGTCTGGGACATGCTCTCCTGGTGGACAGGGTAAACCACCAATTCCCGGCCTGCTGCACTTGGCCTCTTCATTAGGCATTTCTCTGGAGGATACACATGCCCCCTTCATCCATCCCCACCTCACTGCAGGCAGGACAAAGCAGGTGGGCAGGTGGCAGCCCCCAGTGTTGTGCCAGAGGCTCCCTGTCCCTCCCACCCACAGGTCTAAGGACCCATCCTCACTGCTTCCTGGGCTTTGGGAGGGGCTGATCCCAGGGAGCCACACACTGTGGCCTGTGGAACCTGACCTGGCCTGACCTGTTCCGCCCTAATTCTGCCCACCCAAAGGTGAAAGTGGAGCCATGGTGAGTCTGTGGCTCAGCCTGGCCAGGCCGCCCCAGCCAATGTGTCTCTTTATCATTCTTTAGATATGACCCCTTGACCCCAGGAGGTGTGGAAGTAGGTCTCCCTTCAATTTCTGGGAGAAGAGTCACAGTGGAGACCACTAGGCCCTGTGACACCTGGTCCCTTGACTTCTCTCTCAGACCTCGTCCCTCCTAATTCATCAGCAGAGAGAGGGGGAGATCAGGCAGACAGACAGAAGGCAGTGTATCCTTTACATCATCTTTATTCCTAGCACTTGATCCCGGTTGGGGCTCCTGGGTCTTCTAGGCCCCGCCCCCGCGCAGGCGCAGGTTCAGAAACACAGTGCTCTGAGGGGCGAGTCCATACTCCCCCAGCAGCTGCCGATCTTCCATGGGCCGCCCCTCGAAGCTCAGCCAGAACAGATCTTCCTGGATGTGCTCCTGCTGGGCAACCTGCCCCTTGAGCTCCGCCACCTTCTGCGTCAGCCTGATGCTGTAGGGTCTGGTGCGGCCCTTGTCGTTCCTCACCAGGATGCTCAGGGGGCTGTCACAGTTCTGCACCATCAGCAGGACTGTGCTGCCAGAAGCCAAGCCCTGGCTGGTGAGAGGGACCCTGTCCTGCAGCACGGGGCCACTGGGCAGGGCCAGGTGCTGCTGGAAGGCAGGCACGCCGATCTTCTGGAAAATCTGCTGCTTCAGTTCCAACAGCATGGCGGAGTCACTCAGGGGCACCTGGAGCTCTTCGCCCCCCAGCATCTTCACCTTCAGGTTCCAGCCCTGCGGGCATCACAGAGGTTGGGCTCCCACACGGACCACAGGTCCTGGGTGCTRTTCTCTGCTGGCTGCCCCTCCACCCACTGGGCACAGGAAGGCCAGTCTCCCACAGCCTCCACGTTCCTCCCATCACCCTCTGTCCCCCTGTGGGCCCATCCCCTCTCCTCACACTTGGGAACCCGGCCAAGCTCAGGGCTTGGCAGTGGGTGCTCTGCTGCTGGGAGACCCCAGCCAGGGGAGGGAGGAAAGTGGGCTGGAGCAGCCCAGCTGCCCCACTGTGCCATCTGCCTCACCATGGCCGGAGTCTCCAGGGCTCGGTCCACCTCAGGTGCTCAGGAGTTGGCTTCCTCTCCCCTCTAGCTGCTCCACAGGCCATTTATGAGTCTCAGCTACACACGTCAGAGGGCGGAGCCTCCCACAGCCCACACCAGTGGCTGGTCGCCTTCAGTTTCGGTTTCCTTTTCCCAGTGCGTGAGTGAAGAAACAAGACAGAATGACAGAACGACAGGGAGGTACTCTGGATGGCCCGGCTCTCAACGGGACCTGAGGACCCTGTCCCTGCCTCCCAAGGCTCCACCAGGGTGTGCGTTCAGAAGCTCGTAAATGCCCAGCACTCAATCTGCCTACAAGATGCACAAGAGTCATAGTAACACGAACTAATGACTGATAACTTTCACTTTCCATTTACCAGTTTACAAATTAGTTAGCTTGGAAATTTTCACCATGATTAATCTGGAAAAAAATCATAAGATAGGGAAAATCCAAATTACCCAGAGATAACCATTGGTTTAGGACAATATTTGTTCAGATTATTTCTTAGTGAAAGAAATGTATCTTGGGGCTGGGGATGTGGCTCGCCTGGCATGCGTCTGGCCCGGGTTCGATCCTCAGCACCACATACAAACAAAGATGTTGTGTCCGCTGAAAACTGAAAAATAAATATTAAAAATTAAAAAAAAGAAATGTATCTTATTTTGTACAAAAATAAATTCGTGGACACTATCAAAAAAGTTAAAAGACAAAAAAAGAAAGAAAAGAAAGTTAAAAGACAACCCACAGTCTAGGATGAAATGTTTCAAATCATTTATCTAACAGTCCACTATCCAGGATATATAAAGAGCTCTTACAGCTGGGTGTAGTGGTACACAGCTATAATCCCAGTGGTTTAGGAGGCTGAGGCAGGAGGATCACGAGTTCAAAACCAATCTCAGCAATTTAGCAAGACACCAAGCAACTCAACGAGACCCTATCTCTAAATAAAATATTAAAAAGGGCTGGGTGGGCATAGTGGCATAGGCCTGTAATCCCAGTGGCTTGGGAGGCTGAGGCAGGAGGATTGCAAGTTCAATGATAGCCTCACCAAAAGCAAGGCCCTAAGCAACTCAGTGAGAATTTGTCTCTCTATAAAATACAAAATAGAGCTGAAAGGCTGGGGATGTGGCTCAAGTGGTAGTGCGCTSGCCTGGCATGCGTGGGGCGCTGGGTTCRATCCTCAGCACCACAGAAAAGTAAAATAGAGATGTTGTGTGCACCGAAAACTAAAAAATGAATATTAAAAAATTCTCTCTTTCTCTATATTTAAAAAAAATAGAGCTGAAGATGTGGCTCAGTGGTTAAGCACCTCTGAGTTCAATCCCTGGTACCCCACCACCAACAAAAAGTGTTCCTACCATGAGGCAGCCTTGATATTGGGACCTACTTATACATAATTTAACTTTATTCAATGACTATGCAAAGAGTAATTAACTCCACGTTATATATAAATAAACTGAGTCCTTTAAAAATTTTTATAGTTGTAGATGAACAGCATGCCTTTATTTAATTTATTTTTTTAATGTGGTGCTGAGGATAGAACCCAGTGCCTCACACATGCTAGGCAAATGCTCTGCCCCTGAACTACAGCCCCAGCCCTAAATTGAGTCTTATTAGGGGGATATGGCTCAGTGGTTAAGTGCCACTGGGTTCAATTCCTGGTACAACAAACAAACAAACAAACAAAAACAACTCTTACCACACACCAGCAGGACAAACAGCTCAACTCAATCTCCAAGCCAGCAAAAAGGGCTGGTGTGTAGCTCAGTGGCAGAATGCTCACCTAGTCTACATAAGGCCCTGGGCTCCATCCCCAGCAACACACATGCACAAACACAAACACAAATACTCACTCATTAATTTTTAGGGAAATGCAAACCACAACCAGTCTGAGCCAGACATGGTGGTGTGCTGGCACCCACCTGTAATCCTAGCTACTCAGGAGGCTAAAGCAGGAGGATTGCAAGTTGGAGGCCAGCATGGAAATTTAGCAAGACCTGTATTAAAATAAAGAGGGGATGTGGGGATATGGCTCAATGGTACAGTGAGCCTGTTACTATCTTGCACCAGCAGGACACCAATAACAGAAGCAGCGATGAGCACTGACAAGCACCTGGAGAACCTGGAGCCCTGGCACTGCTGCTCGGAGTGTGAAAGCCGAAGTGGAGAACAGGCCGGTTGTCCTTCAAAATGTCAGACAGTTATCATATAACCCAGCAATTCCATTCCTGAGTACATATCCAAAAGAAYTGAACACCAGCATTTTTTACAATTGGTAACAGGTAGAAACAACTCAAATGTCCATCAACAGATAAATGGGCAAGGAAAATGTGGTGTGTGCACACACATGGAGTATTACTCGGCCAGGACAAGGAACCAGCTTCTGTCACACCACACCACAGTCCTGAATGAAACAAGCCAGACATAAACAGCCACCTGCTGTGAGACTAAGGATATCAAAAGTCCAGAACAAGGCTGCTAGGGTTTGGATCTGGAATGGCCACACATTGACAGCTCAGTCCCCAGCCCATGTCACTACTGGGAGGTGGTAGAATCTTTAGGAGTTGGGCCCTGGTGGGAGGAAGTAGGAGACAGGGCTGCTTTGGAAGGGCCCTGGTACCCTGGCCCCTCCTCTCTCTGCTTCTGCACTACCATGAGGTGAGCAGCTCTCCCCATGCCTGCCACGATGTGCTTCCTCAAAGGCTGCAGAGCCAAGGGACCATGGATTGAAACCTCTGAACCCCGAGCCAAAATAAACCTGTCTTCCTTTTAAGTTGACTGGGTCAGGTATTTTGTCACAGTGTTGCAAAGCTGAGGACCACAGGGGGGTCCATAGAGAAGGGGTTTACCCCCGTTACTTCCCTTCTCCTGTACTTCTGCCTGGGCCTATGGCCTTCAGCAGCCTGCAGTTCACTTCTCTGTGGCTTGAGCCTCTCCTCCCTCTACAGCCTGCTCACTGCTGGGCCTGCCCCTAGCCATGCAGAGGACAYTGTGTGAAGGAGTGGAATCCCTGATACATCTAATTACCTCTGATATATCTATCTTTGTTAACCTATACACATGTGCTGGATCTTATGTTCTCAAGATCATTCTGATTCTTACTCAGTGTGGGAGCAAGCACCATCCCGACTGTCTGCCTGAAAGCATCAACCTCAATATTTTATTGACCATAAATCAGCATTGAGAACCTCCAGGCTCCTCTGGTCTGACATGGTGTTCCTGTCATGGCCGTGGGGAGCCCTGACAAGGTGGCGGGCGAATACTGTCTGCACAGCAGGCACCAGGGGTCTGCTTTTGCTTCTTCCTCTACCTAATCCTAGCTGGTGTCATGCCCATTAAAGAACATTCCTACCTGAGATGTTGATGTGCCTCTGGCGGGTGAGCCTCACCAGGGCTGGGCTTGGGTCCTGATGCACAGACTGTGTCCCTGGACTCCAGGGGGGACAGAGCCTTCCTCATGACAGTGCCCGGACCTGGCCTCCCTGAGAGTCTAGAAGCACAAGGGACCAGATTCTCCCATMCAAAGCGAGTCTGCCGGCGTCAGATCCAGACCCCTCTCCCTGTCTCCCTAGTGGGCTGGTCACCACCCGAGGCCACCATTCTAGATGACATCTGGCTGACTCCAGACACCTGACCYTGTGTCCCTTGGTGGCCCTTGGTCACAGCTCAAAGGTCACCCCATGTCTCTGGGCAGATGGGCTGGGCCTTCCCCACAGGCCCCTTGATGCAGGGGTTACAGGTAGGCTATGGCCGCAGGCCTGGAGCACAGTGGACAATGACCAGGGAAGTGTCAGCCAAGACCTGGGTGGGGCTCCCAGGCCGGGCTGATTAAACAGCAGCCAGGAGCTCACCAGACCCTTCACCAGGACCAGGAGGACTGAGCGGTCGCAGCCAGACCAGAGCCCTCCTTCCTCACGGCCCCCTGGGCTGGCACAGCCCCTCCCAGAGGCAGCCCTAGCAATGGGCCTCTTGGGAGAGCAGGATGTAGTACCGGGCAAGAAAGAGACCTCTTTTAACACCATGCAGCAGCCAGTGGACCCTTCAGAACCACCTGGATTCTGGTTCTTAGTAAAACAGACCTGGGCTGGGGACAGGGCTCTCAGGACAGGGTGGTGATGTCTGTAGAGAAACCTGGAGGAGGAGACAGGTCTGTGACCAGGGCTGTTGTTCTAATCTGTGAAAAGCAGGTGGCAGGAGCAGGCATGGGACAGTTCAAACCCACCAGGCCCGTGAAGGAGGAGCAGCAGGAGCTGCAGGTCTGATGGGAGCAGGAGCCCGCAGTCTACGACATGACACGAGGTCAGCTGTCTTCTAGATCCAGACCCAGGTACAGACCAGGACCGTGGGGACTGCCACAGGCAGTCGAGAATTGGGCTAAGGCCAAACCAGGCCCCCTCATGTTCCTGCCACAGAATGACATGTCTGGCCTCTGGTTCTCAGATACCCAACCGAAAGGGGAGTGCTCAGGTGGGGAGGCTACCAGGACAGATCAGCCACCCCCCACCCCCCGCCGGGTCAGAGCTCTCTCTAGGAGAGAGAGGCCCGGCGGCACCTGCCCAGGAAACAGTGCTAGTGAAGCTCACAGTCCACAGGTTGAGAAGCTTCGTTCCAGACCTGGAGGTCAGGGCAAGGCCTCCTTGCCTGTCCCCAACGGCCTTGGAGGTGGCTTCACCGATGCTGTGTGCCATGGAGTCGCCTCTTCCCCCACACTGTGAGGTGTTGTGAGGTTCTGTCCCGGGGAAAGGCTGGTCTTGCTACCCTGAAAGTCCTGAGCAGGCCCACTCCTGCAGCCCTGCCTGCTTGGGCCTGTAAAGAGGATCCTCGGGGGCTCCCCTCTGCTGGTTTCCTRGTCTCTGAGCAAGACAGACCATGGACATGTGCTCACACTCCTTGAAAGTCTTGCTGTGACCTTGAAAATCATATTTGACATCAAATGGCTGCCTGAGTGTTGATGGGTACCGTCACTAAGCAGAGTTGAGGAAAGGTGGTGTCACTGGGCAGAAAGGCACTGAGAATGTGTCCACCTCTCACACAGACAGCAAAGGTGGGTTTGGCAGAGGCATAAGTGGCATAAGGAGGGCCTCAACTACAA